AGGGTGGTGCTGGTATCAGCCAGGATGCCCTTGGAGGAGGTCTGAGGTCTCCCTCCCAGGCTCAGCTTGCTTCCTTCGCTCTTCTGCTCTGGCCCTGGCCCGAATCCCAGATCCCAGATCCCAGATCCGTGCCTCCTTATCTGTATGATCTTGGGCAAGTGGCTTTCCTGCTCTGGCCCCAATGTCCCATCTGAAAAGGCAGGTGCTGAGCTAGATGTGCTCTGTGCCCAGGGCCCTCTGGGCTCCCGTCATTTGATCCTGCAAGCTCACCTAGGATGGCATGCACATTTTCCATTCTCTCCCCCTCCTCCCCTCAATACCAGAACAGGCCAACAAGGCCGGCTGCTTCTGTTTGGTCTTCCTGGGGGAGAGTTTGAGGACTGGCTTGCCAACCCTACTCTGTCTTGACCAGTTCAGTGCAGATACAGAGTTTGTATGGGTGGCGTGGCGTCATTCTTCTGGAGCCGGAGGGGACCTGCTCAGTGAGGTCCCACAGTGAGTGGCAGATGCAGGCCACAGGCTCAGGTCTTCCTGGTTTCTGGGCCAGGGTGCTTTCCTCCATCCTGCCCTTTTGAGGGAGGGCAGCAGTTATGCAACCTGTGTGGGGTAACGTGACAACGCAGCAAGGGCTCCCCCTGCCTCTGTCCACCGCCCTTCTCAGGCCTCGTCATCCCGCTGCTTCTGCTCCTGCGGACGCTCTGTGGGGGCTGCCGGGAATCCTTCCTTCCGATGACACCTGGAGCTGAGCGCTGCGCTTCCTGCTTCCCTGGCCCACCGTTGGCTACAGCTGTGTTTTCTCAAGTACATTCTGCAAGGTGGAACCGGTTATTCAATGAGCCAGGGCTTCCATTGCTAAAGACACAAACATTTAAGAAGGGCCTTGTTAAACCAAGTTCAACGGGCTGCTTTCCTGAAGGGCCTGCCGGAGCCTTTACTGCACCCATGTGCACTGGGACTTTTTAAGAGGGGAGAGTTAACATGCAGAGAGTGGGAATGTATTATAAGGAAGTGGGAGAGCTGTGCAGCTAGGCCTTGAGCAGGAACTGAAACCCAGGGCCGGAAAGAGAGGTGCCGTGTGAAATTCTGTCTCCATTTTTTTGTTTGTTTGTTATTGTTTTTTTCCCCTAGCTCTGCCCTCTGTGGATCCTACTTCATTTATTTTATTTTTCCTCTTTCCTACCTTCTCCCTGGCTTTTAAAGAAAGTCGTGGTACAATGCACATACCATCATAGGTACCATCCTAACCATGTGAAGTGTGCAGTTTGGTGTCCCTGAGTCCATTGGCCATGTTGTGCTCCCAGCGCCACCATCCGTCTGGAGAACTCTGCCAGCAGTGAAGCCACACCTCTGTCCCCTTTAAACACTAACTGCCTTCTCCCCCTCTCCTCAGCCCCTGGCAACTGCCCTTCTGCTTTCTGTCTCTGAGTTTCACTGCACTAGGTGCCTCATTTATGTGGAATCGGACAGCATTTGCCCCTTTTCACTGAGCATCATGTCCTCCAGGTTCCTCTGTGCAGTGCAGGTGACAGAATGCCCTTCCTTCGTAAGGCCGGATGGACCTCCATTGCATGGATGGACCACGCTTTGCTATACATTCCTCCGTCCACTGATGAACACTTGGGTTTTCTCCAGCCACGTCTGTTTTTTTCTTCTTCTCTGGTCCACAGGTGGATACAAAGTGCCCAGCTCTCAGTTGTACGTTGTATTAGCAGAGTCATGGAACAGATAAAAGAGAAACTAGACTCATGGTTTCCTTTCTGGCTCTGCCTCTTGTGCCTCACTTCTTACCCAGCTGCCTCCAGCCCCTCTTGACTTCTGTGCTGAAAGGCTACCGTGACTGTAATGGTGCAGCTTGGTCCCTCCTGGTCGCTCTTCTGAGCTCCTTCTTGGCACTCTGGACAGTCTGTGTCATTCTCCCCTTATCTCACACTTTCCTTTTTCCCCATCGACTTCTCCTGTCTGTGTCCTGGTGTCGGACCTTGAGTGGGTGCTCCCTGCAGGCAGGTGGCAGAAACGAAGGTGCTGCAGGACTAAAGAAGCTCTGGCCCCAAACCCAGCCACCATGGCGGTGATGGGCCCAGGTGGGCCTTGACTGGGCCCTCCGCACTCATGGGCCATGACCTCTGTTTTAGGTGTGTGTCGTTAAGCATGGTCTGCCCACCGCTGAGGATGGAGAAGACCCCCGAGTGTGCCCAGATACCCTCTTCCCCACAGGAGGGTGGTACGCTTTGCTTCAGTAACATCTTCTCCTCCCACTGCCTCAGTCCTAAGTGTAAAAATGGGAGGTGAGAAATCAGTCTGAACTTTCCCTTGTAAGTTTACGGGAGCAGCTCTGTAAGGGAGGGACCCTCCTGAGGCCTTTGGTACGTAGAGGGCGAGTAGGAGAGGGGCTGGTCATTGTTGGCTGCCTGTCGGTAGCAGGTGCTTCCCACCGTTACTGCAGCCTGACAACGGCTCTCTGGGGATTACTTCACACCACCCTCCCCCTACCCTGGTTAGGGAACCTGCTCAAAGTGCCACAGTGAGAACTCCGGTGGATGGTGCTGGCTTGGCACCGTGTGCCCCACTGCCTTCTGCTGCCGCCCCTCCACACTCTCTACCCTCCCCCAAGTCCCCCTCCCTGGCCCCTCCTCACATAACTGGGGGTGACTCTGTCACTGCACAGGCTGGACGGAGGTCGTAATTAAAAAGTGCAAGGACTTTATTTAGTGGTTCTCCCTTTGTTTAGTGATGGTGGAGACTGGCAGGTCCCAAACCTGCAGGGCGGGTTGGCTGGAGACCCAGGAAAGAACTGATATTGCAGCTCAAGTCCAAAGGCTGCCTGGAGGTGGAATGCTTTCTCCCTTGGGGCAGGGGGGCGGCACTTCAGTATTTTCCTCTTCAGGCCTTCAGTGGAGGCCTGCCTGCCCTGTGGAGGGGAACCCGCTTTACTCAGAGTCTAAACAGTAACCTTCCCAGTGACCCCTAGTGTTTGACCACACTTGGAGCCTGTGTGGGGAGCATGGCCTCACCAGGGCGACAGTAAGATTAAGTGTCACGACTACTCCAGCACCTGGGAAGCATGGTTACACTAATGGAGGTAGGGAAAGCCGGGTCTCTGCTGCAGGGAGTCAAGGCTGCATATGGAGGAATTAAGAACAGGACTGTTTATATTTAGATGCTATCTTGTAAAGATGAAATGTGAAAAGTATTTAGAGGAAATGAGGGTGGTTCTAGGTATTTTTGCCATAAACATTTTTGCTGCCACACCTAGTTGACAGTATGAGTATGGTTAACGATGAGGCAGACTTCACGTATTTAATTAAGCTAGTTGTGAGTTTGGTTTCACTTCTCCATTGCAAAGTTCTCTGACTTACTCCTGGGTTCAGATTACATAAGTCTCAGCCCTCCTAATGGTTTGTTCAGTGACCAGTAGACCTGGTGGTCTTAAAACTGTGGGCGATGACACAGGATGGTGACAAGCAAGTACAGAGCAGATTACAAAACTACGTGTAAAGCCAGATTACATCCTATTCTAGGAAATGATGACGAATCAGTTTGCAGACGCCTCAGGGACCACGGTCAGCCCTCACAACCCTCAACACCAACAGCTTATCAAGCTGTGCAGATATCGAAGAGGTTGCTACCTCATTCACAACCATCTTCAAGAACATTATCGATTCAGTGGAAATGCACACATCCCTCACTGAAGGAAGAAATTGTAGAGAGAAGGAAAAAGCATAATGCTAAATGAGGAGATGAATCAACAAGCCAATAAACATATTGTACTAAAGACTTTGAAGACACTGTGTTTTCATTTTTTGCAATAAAGTCTTTTTTAATTTTTCATGTTTCATTGTGTCCATTTTAATGCCCCTTTTTATTTTTTGTTAGTTTTAGCTTTTATGTCAAAATTGCCTCTTGGCCAGTTAGTTGTGCTGCGGAAATGATTGTCACAGAGATGTTTACAGCAAAAATACTGACAGCGAACCCGCCAGCCACGGGCACAAGGGTTGTGGGAGGTTCCAGGGCTGGGGCTGAGCAGGCGCTTTCAGAGCATGGAGGGCTCAGATCTGTGCAGGCACGGGAGGCTTCAGGACCAGAGTGGCAGCCCCGGGGTGATGATGATAATACGCAGTTCTTACAATTGACTAGAGCTCTAAGTTTATTGGGATTTTCACATGCATTGTTTTATTTGATGCTCATGAAAACTGTTTTTTTAAAAAAATGATCAATTGCAGTTGACATTCAATATTATATTCTATATTATATTATATTTTCAACACATATTATTCAATATAATGTAATAATATATTACATATTATATTATTATATACATTCAACATTATATTATTATATATATATTATATAGTTTCAGGTGTATAGTGTAGGGTTAGACACATATAATTTATGAAGTGATCCTGCTGATATTTCCAGTACCCACCTGGTACCATATACAGTTATTACAGTATTATTGGCTCTATTCTCTATGCTGCACTTTATACCCTTGTGATTTTTTTTTTAATTGAGGATCCCAAAGCCTAGAGAGGTTAAGGGGCTCATCAGCAGTCACCCAAGGATATTTTTTTTCCCATTGCTTTTTAGAGAGAGAGAGAGAGAGAGAAACATCGATTGGTTGCCTTTTCGTACGTACCATGACTGGGGATGGAGCCCACAACCTGGGCATGTGCCCTGACAGGGAGTCAAACCCATGACCTTTCAGTCTTGCTCCAACCAGCTGAGCCACACATCCCCTGCGAGGGCTCCTCCTCCGAATCCAGCCCCTCGCCCCTTCTCTTTCCCCGCTGTGCTGGGTATTACGGAATCCCTGTGGACATGCTTGTGTCTGGGAGCGAGGGCAGGGAAGGAGTGAGCAACCCAGGAAGGAGTCAGTGTTTTCTTCACCCAGAAATTCTGTGAAACTATGAAAATGGACTGTTTTCTCTCACTCTCTCTGGGTCTTCCCTCCTCAGCACCCTCATTAACACACACGCGTTTCTTGTTCTCTTGCCCTCCTGCAGACACGAATGCAGAGTTTGAACCCAGATCCCAAAGCCCAGTACACGAGCGTCCACGGAGCCCTGAAGAAAATCATTCGGACTGAAGGCTTCTGGAGGCCCCTGCGCGGCCTCAACGTGATGATGATGGGCGCAGGGCCAGCCCACGCCCTGTATTTTGCCTGCTATGAGAACATGAAAAGGACTTTAAATGCCGTTTTCCACCACCAAGGAAACAGCCACCTAGCCAACGGTATTAGAAAGCGTTTGTCTGGAGTTAGAAAGCTCTGTCCTCAGCAGACCCTTCCCCAGGGTCTTCTCCCTGTGACCCAGCAGCCTGCTGCCTCGTCTCCGCCACGCTTGCTTATGAATAAAGAACTCTAGAGTCGTGTGTGCACACACACACACACAAATACACTCACACGCACACGCCTTTTCCGTCCCCCTTTTTCGCTTTCTGAAGCCGGGGGAGATTGGTGACAGAGGGGTTTCAGTTTTCACTGTTGTGTGGGTTTTTCATTTCTTTTTTTTCTTTTTCTTTTTTTTTAAACATTCTAAAGCCATTAATGATCAGATCTAGGAAAAAACACCCTGAATAGAAACGAAAACTTTTGAATGCTGGATTCCAAAAAAAAGTTATCTGGACAGCTTCTTTCAGACTATTTAAAAACTGGTTCAACAGGTCTCTACAACGTCAAGATCTAACTAAGCTTTAAAAGGTCAAGAAGTTTTATGGCTGACAAAGGATTTGCTCCAGCGCAGACGACCTTTCCCACCTTAAGCTTCTGGGGATTTGGGAGTTTCGCCCCACGCTCCTCTGTTTGTCTGAGTTGCATCTCTCTGCGATCAAGGGCCGAAAGGGTTTTCTTCGGTGGTTCTGAGGGAGCTGGGTGGGGGCTTGAGTTTGGCGGGCAGCTCTGACCTAGGCATGTCTTCCTGGGTTCAGCTCAGCAGTTGTTGCAGCTTCTCCTTTGGGGTTGGGCTTCTGTTGGTTTCTGTTTGGGTGTGAAATGGGTCCACGGGTGGGATGATACATTGTTCTTATTGGAACAAAATTAATCATTCAGCCATGGAGAGGTAGATGTGACCAGTAATAATTTTTTTCCCTTCTCTTCCTGTTCTGCTCAGAATCCAAAAGCATTCCTCCCATCAGCCAACCTGGATAATAATAAGTATATCTGGCTGATTTACAGACATTTGTTTTGCTTTTTAAAAACTGGGCATTAGTTGCACTTAATGAGATGGTCACTAAGAGCCCCTCTGAGGCCACCCCTGAGCCCGTGGCTGTCTGTTGGCAGAAACTGCCCGTGGAATGGTTTAGGTCCTTGGTTGGGGACCCTTGGACTGCAGTTTGATGGCACCGGTTTATACCCAGTTCTGCCCCTCGCTGTGACGTGACTGCTTCACTGTGGCATGTGTGGTGGTTGCACTTTGACCTTTCTGGGACAATCACAAGTGTGTGTGGAGGGAGAGGGGGGTGTGTGTATTTCAGAAGCCGCTGCTCCTCATTCCTCTCGCCTTCCAGCGGTTATCTGAATTACTGGGCACGTGATCCACAGAGGGAAGAAATCCAAGTCCAAAAACAAAATTCCAGGCTGAATTAGGCTTTTGAAATTCCTGGTTCTTGAAGCCAGATGAATGGGCTGCCATCTCTCAGACAAGTCATATCTTCGTAAATTAACCCTGAAATCTACCATGTGCAGGTCTTCCTGGCACTCTCTTCCCGTGCCTGTTTGCTTTAAAGTGCCCAGGTTTTATTAAGTAATTTTCTTAAAGACTTCTTTTCTCCCTCTCAGCCGTATACATGGTGTCATTCCCTCTGATGGCCCCAGTGTAACTGCTGAGTGAGTTTGTCTGTAGACGGAGGCGAGGGACAAGCTTGAATGAATACCTAGAGGGTGGAAAAAGCCAGAGTGTCCTTCCTGGGTCCCATCCAGTGTGAGCAGGTCTAACCTTCACCCAGGATTGACTGCCAGAGAGAAAAGGAAATTTCTACAAGGAGAAAACATGGGCACCTGCACCTGTGCTTCCTTCCCCGTGTTTATCTAGCATTTTCATGATCCCTTTAGGGTTTTACGAGTCCATGCTCACCTAGGTGGAGTTGATAGTGAATTTTGCTTCTCAGAAAGGTGTGCCCAGGGTTCTGTCTGATTTTTAGGTTCCGGGAAGTTTCTCAGAGCGCCTGGCCCCAGAGGGTAATTTTCTGGAGTTTGTTTTGCAGGGATAGCTGGGAGTCTGGCCACCCTGCTCCACGATGCAGTAATGAATCCAGCAGAAGGTAATGTTCCAAGGTCCCAGGGAGTGGCAGAAGGGACATCAGGGGGCAGGAGTGATGGGGGTGGGCGGGTGGGGAACAGGAGGTTGGGTGAGTGGATTCCTGGCCCCCAGGCAGAATAAGGAGAATTTATTTTAACCACATTTTATTAAAGACCTCGAGAAGGGGCCCCGGGCTTTCGAGCTTTGGGCGGCCCTGTTCTCTTCAACAGGGCCGTGTGTGGTGCGGCCTGGGCAGTCTCGGCCATCAGCGGTCCTGGGAGCACGTTAGAAACGCAGATTTTCAGGTCCCACCCCAGACTACCTAAATCTGCCTGTCAGGGTAGGGACGGGGAGTTTGTGTTAATGAGTTCTGCTGGGGATTCTTTTGCACTAGTCTGAAACTTTGTGCCACATGCACATACACCTCTAGCCCTGGTTAGCCTTTCTCAACCCTAGACAGATTTAGGGGAGACATGACAAAATTCAGTTTGCTTTTTTAAAGGAAATTTGAGGTTATTATGGAAAATTTCAAACACTTGCAAATGTAGAGACAAGAGCGTAAGGAGTCCCCTCTACTTCGTGAACGAGCATTTGGCCATTTGGTTTTAGCTTTCTCCTCCTGTGTTAGCCTCTTTGTTCCTTTTGGGTTTGGGGAGCATTAGGACAGTTCTCAGCTGTGAAGACTCGGGTGCTGGCAGCCTTGCTGTGTCCCCGGCCCTCGGCTGCCTGGTCTGGACCTTGAGAGCTCTGGGACCTGGCCCTGGGCCCGCTTTTGCCTGGGGTAGTCTCTGGAGACGAGGGGCTCTCTCCACCTGCCCTCCCTAAAATGGCCCCTTTCCAGAAGGGAGAATCAGAAGTAAAAATGTCAACACTTTTAGTCTTACAAGTTTTTCTGTTCTTGTCTTAAGGTTAAAATTGCTCCTTGGCCCCCAGCAGTCTGCCGTGCCCTAGCAGGCAGGGAACTTGCCCTGTCCTTCAGGGACGTGACGGGCCCAAGGGGAGGTGGGTTCCTCTGTGTGTGTTCATGGCAACTCATACAGGCCCCGACCTGGTCAGTGACTACTTAGTCCAGGTCATCCAGGCAAGAGTTTTACTTCTGTTTTTTAAAGGAGAAATGAGTGCAACTCCCTCCTCCTCCTTGACATTATATTGATTTAAGGACTTCATTTCTTTAACAGTAAGGAAAAACACGCCGTATGTGTTCATTTTGGCAACGCATGGGGATGGTTACAGCTCCACGCCTCGGGGACCACAGTTGGCCCTCATTGGCCTCGTGGTCTCTGGTCCATAGTTACTTTTGTGTTAACAAAGCGGGCGTTTTCACTGGAGGTGACTCAGTTCTAGTGTCTCTGGCAAGAGGGCTGTGATACAGAAGCTAATGACACTGTGTCAGGGGCACAGCCCAGAACAGACAAGACAGGACGTGTGACCAGGAGATGTGTTAGGACAGAGGAGGGCAGAAGGGCCAGGGGCGGGGTTTAAGTTTGTGGTGGGTACGATGCCCCAGGCAGCAGGGACCCCAGGTTCAAGTCAGAGAATTGGAAGTGGCGGTCTGGTTTGGGGACCACTGTAAACGAGATTCAGGCTGGAGAAACGGTAGGGAAGAGCCCCTTCACTGGCACGGGGTTGGGCTTGCCTGGAGCTGGCCCTGTGTGTCTCAGGCTGGGGCTGTGCGTGTGCTGTCTCCAGGACCTGTGACCAGCCTGTCTAAACTTGCTTGTTTCTCTTTATGGCTTGGCTTCCCATTTCACTCCGACCGGGTGGGGCCAAACCAACCACCTGCCCCTTGACTGCCCACCGCCTGTTGTGCCCTGCGGCCCGCCAACAGTTGTGAAGCAGCGCATGCAGATGTACAATTCGCCACACCGGTCGGCCCTCAGCTGCGTCCGGACGGTTTGGAGGACTGAGGGCCTGAGGGCCTTCTACCGGAGTTACACCACGCAGCTGACCATGAACATTCCCTTCCAGTCCATCCACTTTATCACCTACGAGTTCCTGCAGGAGCAGGTCAACCCACACCGACGCTACAACCCGCAGTCCCACATCATCTCAGGTGGGCTGGCCGGGGCCCTGGCCGCGGCCGCCACCACCCCCTTGGACGTCTGTAAGACCCTTCTCAACACTCAGGAGAACATGGCCTTGAACCTGGCCAACATCAGTGGCCGGCTGTCGGGCATGGCCAACGCTTTCCGGACAGTGTATCAGCTCAACGGCCTGCCCGGCTACTTCAAGGGCATCCAGGCTCGAGTGCTGTACCAGATGCCTTCCACTGCCATCTCCTGGTCCGTGTACGAGTTTTTCAAATACTTCCTCACCAAGCGCAAGCTGGAGAGTCGAGCGCCATACTAAAGGAACAGGCCGAAGGCCGTGAGTCCAGAATCTTGTGTTTTTAAAAGGTTCTCCCTGCCTGCTTGCACCACCTCGCCCTTGCCCCGAAAGCATTTTTGCAGGGTGTTTTCAGGGTGGGCCTTCCGCTCCCCGGTGCCTGAGAGAGAGGGGCGGATAGACCAGCCACTTACATGTAGGCTATCTGTGGAGACATCCGAGGTGGTGGCAGGTGGGGCAAGGCTTTGGAAGGGGCACTTCCTCCCCTCAGGGGAATGATGCAGCTTTTCTGCTTCAGTGTGGCCAGCCCCTCCCCTCGAGTTGTAGGTCATGGGGAGGGAAGAAGATGTGCAGTGACTGAGAACATTAAAGCAAAAAACAAAGTTATGTATGTAAAAGTTCCAGTACACAGTATAAAATAGATGGATGGTGTTTATTCTTTATTTTTCTATGTAGAAGGTTTTTGGGTTTGTGTGTGTGCCTGTGCGTGTGTGAATCAGTGTGACAGCTGGGACTGCAAAGCTGTTTTTAAACACGGAGGGCTGAACTCTTCCATTGGGTTAAGTGAAAAGGCACCAAAGTAATCGCTAAATGTGGCCTAAAGTTGTGGTGAGCCCCCAAATGGAAGTTTCACTTGAATGTAAAATAATGAATGTAAAATAATAAATATAAATTTATATTTTGAATTTCTCTTTTTATGGGGAGAAACCTTAATGTTGAAAAAAATCAAAATAATATGTATCTTCCGTCTGCTTTCTTTTACACATGCAGTCACCTTCACCTGCCTTTAGCCTTTGTCTTCAGAGTCCTGGAACTTTAGGGATGCTTTCTGTTGCCGTGGGCACGCACACAAGCCGGTGACAGGAACCACCACAGTGGAGGACAGTGGCCCATAGTGACAGTCTTACACCCGCTGAGACCGTCTCCTTCCCTGGGGCATGAATACAGCCTCCCTGGGCCAGCTCTTAGGAGCCCTTGAAATGCCCCCATCTGGCTGCCTGTCGGCAGGAGGAGTCCTATTCCCCTAGGACTTCTCTCTGCCTCCACCTTCTGACTCAGACACTTCACGGCTCTTGTTTGTGTGTGTTCTGACTGAACTCCCGATCTGTTTCCCTGTCAGTTTTAGAGATTAAAAAAAACCCGGCCAGAGTATCTATGGCGTTTGTCTATCTCCTGCCACAGAGCCTCTCACCACACAGCAACAGAGTTCCAGCCCTCTAGCCAGGGCCCAGGTGATGAGGGCCTTGGTGCCTGAGTCAGGATGCCCCTGGGGCATCTTCAGCCTCTGTGGGTCCAAGTCAGCTGAGACCCTGAGGCCTAACTGCTTTGTTGAAGAGCCTCACAGAGAAAACTGGAGCCTGCTCCCTCTGGCCAGGGCTCTCCATGGGCTTCCAGGCCTTCAGGAGAAGGCCCAATGGCTCCCTCTCAGAGGCCAGCTGTATACAGGTGCTGCAGGCACACTCCCGGGTGTCTCCCCAAGGCTCAGCCCCGGCTCCTGTAACCCTGGGAAGAACTCCAGTGGCACTGGGATAGTTTGCATCTTGGGACCCTGCACCCAGTGCTGGGCATCTCATCAGGGACAGGAGAGCGGGCCCTTTCTCCTGGGCCGGGGGCTCAGATGCTGGCCTGTCCCGCCTCAGGGTTAACACCTTCAGTGGAAACCTGTAGCAGCAAGCGTCTGCCCCAATCGGGATACAAAAGCCCTCGGGGACCACGCTGCCTTGGGAAGTGTTTACATCTCTCTAAACATGGCCTGTGTTAGTGTTAGATTCTGTGGATGGAAAAACCACAGATTGGATTCTAAAATAATTATCCAACCACTCCTTTTTGTCTACTTAAGCTTGACACATTGTTGTAAAATTTTTATTTCTTACAGGATTTTGTCTTTGATAGAAAAGCTGCTTGCTGCTCTGGGAAAACTCTTTTGGGTGGGCAGATGCAAGAAGCAGAGGTAGAGGGTGGATTTCAGAGCACTGGGCTCAGAATCACAGGTCCGGTCCTGTTGTTCCTCTCACCGTGCAGTGGATCGGCTGGGAAGCAGCGGGGAGGCTGCCTGCCCTGCCTTCCCCACTGGGGCAGTCTCTCTGGTGTGGAAAGAACACTAAAATATGGGTCATTTATTGGGGAATTCTTTTCCCCCACTTGCCCTGAGACCTGAAGTGTGTACTGTTGCCTCGTGCAGACTGCAGTGCAGTTGTGGATTTTGACTTTGCCCTTGTGAAGCTAAACAGGAACGTGTTCTCCCCAGCCCCGGTGATGATCAGCTTTGTAGCACTGTGGCGTGCGTTTGGTTGTCAGTGTCTCTGGAGTGGTGTCTGCAGCCAGGCAACGCCACTGAGTACAGTCCTCACTCCGGGGCATCCAACGTTTTGGCATCTCTGGGCCACGCTGGAAGAAGAGTTGTTTTAGGCCACACACTAAATACACGAACACTAACGAAAACTGATGAGCAAAAAAAAACACAAGGGTTTAAGTAAACTTATGGTTTCATGTTGGGCCACATCCACCGCCATCCCTGGCCGCCGGTAGGCCACCCCTGCTGCCCTGCGCGCATGAGCATGCGGCCACTCGCACCTGCGTGAAAGCTCTTCCGCTCAGACCGTGGTTTGAGATTCAGCCACTTGTAGGTCAGAGCTTTATTTTCAAATAAAAGGTTGATTTCCTTTTCAAATGGGGTAAATGTTCAACCCAGGACTATGTTTTTAAAATTTTGCATTGAATCCAGCTATATACCGGCCTACATCCTTTTGTATGGTTTCTGTTTCTTTTTCTTTCTTTTTTTACTGCATGTGTCTTATGCTAAGCCCTGTCCTCCAAAGTCCCTGAAAGCTGCATCTCCAACACATTGTAGTGCCGGTAGCTTTGAGGCTGATTGTGCCTGTTAAATGCTAATGTACTGCTGCTTCCTGCCTGCTGGGCGCACTCTGTACCAGGATAAGCAAGTCTAGTTTCTTAAACGCCTGTAGTAATAATAATCGCTGATTTTGCCTCTCAGCTGCTGCCAGCTCCTTGAAGGGAGAAATGCTTGTTTTGTGGGGGGTGTATATCTGACATGCTGCTCCAGCTGCGACACAGAGCTAGAGACAGACAAAGCCTTCATCTTTGGGTGGGGCTCTGGTGGGAGTGCTGAAGGAAGAGGAAGGTGGAGAGAAAAACCCAATTCTTGGGGCTTGCACCTCTTCCAGGCTCGCACAGGAAGTACCGTGATCTGTGATATTGACAGAAAGGTCGCTTTCTGCCCTCTTTTCAAATGGCCAGCCGGGAGAGGTCATATTACTGTGCCAAGACAGCGCCTGGGTGCCTCCTGGCTTTGCTCCTCGTGCCAGGGAGGGTAGCAGCTGTTCTTTCCAGTGTGGGCGCCTGAGTGTGACACACTGCAATGCAAGATGTGCACACCCAGGTGCACGCTGCCCTCATACCTGGTTCTCATGTACTTAACCAATTAGCCCCTTCGTGACCCTCAGTCACAGGGGTCCCTCCACGAGGGAAGCTCTCGGGGATGAGAACCCACACCTGTTTCCTAAAGCTCACAGTGTAAAGCAGATAACTGAGCGTTTTCCGGGCTGGGAGTGGGCAGGGGGAGGTCTCGGAGCCCTCTGAGACACCATGGTCAGCTCCTAATCCTGCACGTGGTTTTGGGATAACAGTGCCTGCTGGCACTGGAGGCTCAAGCAAGGGCAGAGGGTCAGAACTGAGGTCAGGCTGAGAGCCAGCCAAGGGTAGGGGTGCCAGGAGGTGGGAAGGGGTGCTGGCTAGAGGGTGAAGAAGGCTGGAGATACACTTCCTGCTTCACAGTTTTACCCAAGACCAACCTGTGCTTCTCAAAGCTGACTTGTGCCTTCAGTTGCTCCTCCCACTTGGGTGGGTGGGAGGCAGGTGTGGGAGGGCCTGTTTTCAGTGGATGTGTATCTGCTCAGCAGATGCTCCTTCCCCTGCCCTACAATGTTGATGTGCCAGTGAATATGAAGTCTTTCCAAGAGCAGGGCACTACTCCTGGTGCTGTGGGGACAAGAGCCCAGGCAGAAGGTGGTTTTTGTCCTTTCAGGCCTTAGAGCCTCACAGAAGAATATGAGGGAAGCCACAGACTTCCTTAAGGCAAGCAGATCCAGCCCCACCAAGATAGTCCTGGAGGCTACCGTGGAAGTGTCAACTGAAAATTAATATTGACTAGGTGTTTCGTCTCCAGAAAGGATTTATTCAGAAAAAGAAAGGGTTGCCACCCAGTGCACACAGACATGGCCAGCCACTTGCACACTCAGGCCTGCCCGCCAAGGTGGAGGAGCATTCATGGAGGGAAAAGGAAGTTATGGGAAGGGGAAGCTAGAACCAGAGAGCTTTATGGCAAGCATCGAGTTCCACCGTAGAGTTCTTGTGTGCTCTTGCGATTGCCTATGGGACTTCCATAGGCCCTAGCCCTTCCCACAGACTTTCTGTGCTGGTTGTGTTTTCTTCAAGTCCCAGTTAGTTTTTGTAGAAATCACAGAGTAACATGATGCCACTAGCCAGGTTGTCCATCTCATTCACGGCTCTATCGCCCCAGGGGTGAGCTGGAGCAGCCCCTCCACCCCCTGGAATGCCCCCTGGAGCTTCATATGCACATCCACATTTGGTAACATCACGTTGCTAGCTGGAAGTCAGCAAACGTAGCAATCTATACCCCTGAAGCAGACAAGTGCTGTAATCAGGGCTCTTTTCCAAGCCCAGCATTGTATTGGGTCTACCAAAAAGTCTATATGGTTTGTTCCGTAAAATAACACATTTTTCCTTTTCACCAATAACTTGATTGATTTGGGTATTTTGAGTGTGGCCACTATCTCCTATATGGTAGAACATTGACTGTTCTCAATTAATGTCTTGATTTGGTTGCTATTAACTTCAGCAGGTCTACCCGACCGTGGAGCATCGCCCGGAGAGAAATCTCCAGCACACAACTTTGTAAGCCGCTTTGGACACATTTGATCAGTTACAGCACCTTCTCTATGCACTGCATAAGTCTTTTTTTTGCATTTCAGTTGCATTTTTATCTTTCTTGAAATAACAAAGTATAATATGTCAAAAATGTTGCTTATTTTCTCCCATCTTTAATATTCAATTTGGCTACACAAAAATTCACCAATTTTGGTAAGTTTTTTTTTAATGCATGTTGATATGACAGCTGTCACAACACAGTCTAACAAAATTGTTTTGAATGAAGTTAAAGACAACTAAGTGCTACCAGAGCCATCTTACGGAAAAAAAGAAACAAAATTTTTGGCCAACCCAATAGAAGAGACACAGCCACTGGGAGGAAGGAGAGGTGGGCCAGTACTCCTGACAGGGTAACAAAGGGTCCCCTTGCCAGGGATAGGCTGTGAATAAGAGCTTGACTGCCATCATAAGGAGATTGACCTTTAATTAGTAGGTAATGGGGAGTCATTAAGGGTCTTTAACAGAGGACATGGTGGCAGGTGGTCAGCTTCAGGGAGAATCATCTGGCAGAAGTAGACAGGGCGGAGTGGAGAGTGAACACGGAGGGGGCCAGACACTTGGTGCACAGTGAAAGTGTGCAGAAGAAGGGCGACTGAGGGAAAGGCAGGGAGACTAGAACAGAGCATGTGTAACAGATGAGCGCACAGGTGGAATCAACAGGGACTGGGTATGATGGTAGGGCAGGTGACAGCCGTCTGTCTCACAGGAGTGGCAGTGT